TCCTTGTGCTGTTGGTGGCCCCAGCACTGGAGGCAGCACTGCAGGTGGGGCTTCAACTCTTTACCTTTTTCTGAGGCACGTAGGGTTTCTGCACACTGTCCAGTCGTGGCTTGGCATCCCGGTAAACCAGGGGGTGTTTCAGGACGTAGCGCAGCGCCTGGGCGTTCTTCTGTATCCCTGTGAACCAGAAGGAAAACAGGACAACAAAAGCCTTTGCTGCTTCTTTCTTGGTAGACCATATTGATCATCAACCTACCAAGCCTTTTCAGGGCAGGAGCCCTCTGCTATCTTCACTCACCAACTGGCTCAATAAAATCTGGGTCTGTGGCTCCACCAAGCAGCTCCTCGTAGCCTTTGTATTGCTCTGGAACAACCTGGGAGCTTCCTTCCTGCCTCTGCTCACTCTTCTCCAAGCTGTCCTCTGCCATGGGTCTCAACAGGGGTCTGGAAACATCTTCCACCTCAGAGCAGCAAAATAAAGGAATTCACAGCAGCTCTTTCTTACCAGTTAAACTGATGGGGTCAGCCAGAGCCTGCCCTGCTGTGCCCAGAGGTCTCTCCCAGTGGGATCAAGCCACGCAGCCATCACCTCATCCCATCTCTGCTCAGTGGGACCAGAGGAGAGAGGAGCCACCCCCATCCCAGCACAGACATTTTTGCTGTGATAACCCCAAGATTTTCAGGGAAATCATGTCAAAAAGCTGCTCTGGGTGTGTTCTAGGAGGGAGTTTTCCAGCAGACGCTGCAGGGATGATACTGGGACTACCCACCAAGCCAGCTCAGCCCAGTGCCACCCTGTGAAAGAGGCCACCGATGGGATGTGAGGAAGAATTTCTTTGCTGCAAGGGTTCTGAGGCATTGGAAGGGGTTGCCCAGGGCAGTGGTGGAGTCCCCATCCCTGGAGGGATTGAAGAGTCGTGTAGACACAGTGCTGAGGGACATGGGTTAGTCATAGGGGACTGGTCAGTGTTGGGTTCATGGTTGGACTCGATGACCTTGAAGGACTTTTCCAACCCAGGTGATTCTGTGTGTGATTCTGTGTGTGATTCTGTGTGTGATTCTGTGTGATTTATGCTTCTCACTAGTGCTTCCTTCCTTAAATCCCTTGCAATGGAAGGGGGGTTATAACCACTGGTGCCCACAGCACATACACACCGTTAATTCACTTAGGAAACAAAGATCCATCTATGGACCATTTCTGGCCAAGCCCTGCAGTCCTGAACACTTACAGCCCAGCCTCACCTGTGTCATGAAGAAGGATGCAACGTCCTCCTCGGCTGAGGCAGGAGGAGGCCTGGAGTCACCTTCCCCTTCCCTCAGTGCTGGCTGCTGGCTGCTGGCTGGGGTCTCGGAGCTGATGAGGGGCAGTGGCTGGGCCAGACGTGCAGGTGCAGCAGCATCTCTCACAGCCTCCACCACAGCTGGGAGTTGTTTCCACAAAAAGGTCTTGGCAGGAGCTTCCAACATCAGGGGCTGCTTTGTGACTTTGGGGAGATGTGACGTGACCTGGGGGAACACAACGGATATCAATGCTGTCCTCACAGCAGAGCTGCTCCAGCCCTGGCATCATCCTCGTGGCCTCCTCTGCACTGGCTCCAGTAGCTCCATGTCCTTGTGCTGTTGGTGGCCCCAGCACTGGAGGCAGCACTGCAGGGGGGGGCTGAGGAGAGCGGGGCCGAG